TTGTTTCACAGAATATTAACCTTAGAATGAATTGCCAGGTTTTTTTTCTTTGTATACTTTGAAAGATTACTCCTATAAATTATTTTGTGCTGTTCTAAAATTCATTTTTAGAACATGATTCTCTGGACAGTCTAATGGAGCAATTTTGAGCCCTTTGTTCCATCAGCTGTCTTTCACACTGCAGCGCTCTCTTCTCTCGCACTCTGTATCAAACTTGGCTTCCTTTTAGGAGGCGTCCTGCTGTGCCAGCGACACCAGACATAAATACCCCCTCTCTCGCCAGAGCACTTTCCATCTCTCAGTCTGACCTTCTTTCTCTCACCTCTTTCTCCCAGTGTCTCTCTCTCTGACTCTCCCTTTTTGTATTTCTCTTCCATTCACATCTCTCTCCTATACCTGCTCCTGTAAAGACTCTTTTGCCCTGCCTGCTCTGTCTCTTTGTGTCTCACCTCTTTTTTTTTTCAGTGTAAAAGTTCCCTCCCATTTCTCTCCTCTGGTCCTTGACTGAGCACATCTTCACACCTCGTTATCCTCCATCACACTTTCCTCTCGCTGCTTTTCATTTGAGTTTAAATTATTCATTGATACCTGGCTAAACTTAATAACACTTGAGAGGTCTTTTGGAAGGTTTCTTTATTGAATGGAGGTAAAATATCAATTCCCAAAACCAAGAACAGTGATACAAAACCAAACCATGGTTAGACTGCTGGTCATGGTCATTTCGTATAAATGTTCATAATGTACTTTCAATAAGTTCTGTGTCCAATCACAGAGATAACAATAAAATTGGTTGTCAGTTGTTATGTCTCTCTGGTCGAAAAGCCTTTTGAACACAGATTTGTGCTCGGTTGCACATCCACACACAACAATGATGTCAAAAAGTCATGGAGTACACCTGTGTATCACCGCAGCAATGATGAAAATAAAGTTTTTAACCTTGTTAACATGTCCATATGATGTTTTTCATATAGTACAATACATTTCATGAGTGAAATAAGCAGTCAATGCCATGACTGCATATTTCAACTTTGGAACCGCAGTAAATCATAAAAACAGATTCAGACAGCCAGAGATTCATACATCACAAACCATCAGCAACCAATCCTGTCAACTTGCGGGGATGGGAGAGGGGGGAAGGTAAAATAAAGCCAAAACCTTGTCAGTACAGAGAGCAAGAGTTAGCATTAGCACAACCACTAACTCTGTGTCAGCCACTGCCAGTTACAAGCTAACAAAAAACATAAACAGGTGAAAGATGCTAACCACGCTAACCATTCTGATATGTCTGCTAGTTGCCGATTTTGGTGCACAACTGACTCCTCCTGAGTCTGACTGAGGCTCAAACATGTGGCTGAGTCACTCTGAAGTTTCTTCTAACACTAACCATCTTGAAACACACTGCTACTTCACCAGTCACCGAAAAGTTGTTAGCACAGAGAGCGAGTTTGCATTAGCACAGCCAATAACACTCAGTCAGTCACAGCCACGTACAAGCTAACAAACAACATAAACAAATGACTACACTTACCTTTCTGATACGTCTTCTAATCGCCGATTTTGGTGGACAACAAACTTCTCATCTGAGTCCGACTGAGGCTCAAACAAGTGGCTGACTCTCTCTGACGTTTCTTCTGCTAACCATCTTTAAACGCACTTATCTTACACCTGTAAATCTAGCGCAAGCAGCGGTGGTGGGCGTGGCACGAGGCCTGGTCCAGAATATCTCAATGCGGAAGTAATTGTACAGTACCCAAACTAAAATATTGTTATTTTTAGTCAGTGTTAAACCAACACGCTCAAATTTTACCTTAAAACTGTCACTCATTTATTGTTAATTATAAAAATAAAAATAATAAACTATGTGCATATGATATTAAAAACTGCAAAGTATACACACATTATTCAGACCCAGGAGCAAATAGTGACCAATAAACACTGCATTTCTTATCTGCACAAGAGAATGTAATGAGAAACATACATGAAAAGAAAAATGCAGTCCATGGTCTAGCTTTTGACCCTAAGATTAAGCAATGACTGGTTGTGACCCCTAAACACAGGTTGTATGGTCACCTGCTTGGAAGTGAGGTTACCCTCTCAGATTGTTAAATATAATGGTTTTAGAGACCTGAAGTGGTACAAGTATTTCATAACAAGTCAAGGATTGGAGAAAGAGAAAAATATGGAAATATAACATTTCATTCATTTCTTGTTGATCATTTTGCAACCCTTCAATACCGTCACCTCCAAAGCTTAACTTAACACTTTTTGTCAGTTTCCTCAGTAGTGTGAATGGTTTACAATGGTACACATGTGAATCTGTCATCTTATGCCTATTTTTGAGCCAAAATGACAACCAACTCAACCTTCTAAACTTAGGCTAAAATGGTTTCTCAGTTAATCGGTTTAAGTCATTTTCCAAGCAGAAATGCCAAACATTCCCTAGGTCCAGCTTCTCTAATTCAATTATATGCTGCTTTTACTTGTCTGATTTGATTAGGCAAAAACAAGCAATTCAAATACAATACCTTGGATTCAGGAAATGGCAACTGGTATTTTCACTATTTTGTGACATTTTATTGGCCAAACAATTAATCAGTTATTTTGGACGACAATCTGAACCTAAATTGATAATGGAAATAATTGTTAGTTGCAGCCCTATATTCAACCACTCAATGCTAGCCGCCTAGATATTCTGTCAGGGTGAAACATCCTCTGAACACCATGAAAGCTCACCTTTGAAAATGAACACAGTAAGATTATTAATAACATTATAAGTGAAGAATGCTGACTGGTAAATTTTCAAAAAAAGGTCACTGGCCTGATAAACTGGTTCACCATCTTGCTGCACCCAGCTATTCTGTAAATACGGCTCCAGATTTAGGTTATCATTTACCTTTAAGCTTCCAATGGGAACCAATTTTCAGCATGATTCATAGATACCTCTGGCAGGCGCTCAAGCTTTTTTTTCCACCTTAAGGCGTCAAACATCTTATTCTGCCCTCCACACATCTCTGGATCTCAGTAGGAGGCTCAGATTGCTGACCATCACAGCCTAGTGATTACCTCAGCAACATTTTCCACAAATTGTCAGAAATTCACAAAACATTTTCTTTCCTCCATTACCCGTGACTTCCAAAGTTCTATAGTTATAGCCCACAGTGTCTGACTGTCGCCACGAGCTCTGTTTGCTCCGAGTCTTAGTCTGTATGCATCTGGGACACACAGACCAACAGATTTCTTTTTTTAGATCAGAGCGGCACCGCATTACAGAAAGGGTTTTTACAAATGTGATGTAGACAAATAGAAGGTGTAGATTCAGTCTAAATATATCCCTGAGTCAGAGGCACTTTTGTTTACATTTTGTGTTCAATGCCGCATATATGCAAAAAGCCAGTTGAATTAATGTAGTCTCTCCCTTTTTTGGTCGTTGTGTTGTACTGCCCTCCACAGTCCAACATGTGAAACTTAGAGAACAGCTGTGTGTCACAGCAGAGACATTGTCATGGACTCTAGATTTTTCATATCTCACTGTATCCCTTAATGGGGAATTTCGTATCTGCATTGAACTGAACTTGTGAATGTATTATATTTGGTCATAATTTGATTATCATATACTGTCTAGAAGAATTCAGTCTAAGGCAACTGGACAGGCTGGCAAACATTTTTCTTTGATTGAAATAGTCTATGAAAACAAAAAGAAAAGGAAAAATATGGCAAAATTACTAAGTATGTTTCCCTTTAATTCTTTAGCAAACAACCTCATTTTGGGACTGGACTGGAATGAATTGATTACTTTTGGTTGCTATGCCCTCGTCTAACAAAGTCTTCAAGGATTTATTGCATTATTCAACTGCAAGACTGTTTTGAAGATGAGGAGACATCATAATTTTGAGGTTTTAGTTGTGTATTGCTGATATTCACATAAATTTTCAAAGGTCCACTTATTGCTAACACACCGCAGGCAGAAAGATGTGGAGTGAAAGGTTAATAGGGAGGGATCTGTTTGAGTATTACATATATTGCATAACAAAAAGGACACCAGTGTATTCCAGTAGGTAAAATGAGACATTTGAAGAACTACAACTAAAGAAATTGGACATTTTTAAATCTTTTCTGTCATCTTATAGACCAAATGATTCAGAAAGTAAACAGCAGATTCATCGATGATGAATATGAAAATGGTTGTTGTAGCCCTGACAGCGATTTCCAACCTAAATTCTTAGTCACGTGTATTATTATATATCAGTGGTGTCATGTAATTTAAAGAGCCTTTAAAGAGGGTCTTTAAAGAACAAAACTTAATTCATGGAGAGCTGAATCCTGTTTAAAACAGACACCCAAAGCAACAAAACATATCCTCTGAATGATCCAGCCTTTTAAGTTTTGTCACTGCCTTTTCATGCAGCAATAATCCACTAGTTGTTTACACCACGTATCACTGCTAAATGTGTAGCAGATGCTGTGTCTGCCTCTCCCTTTATGCACGTACACCATTGTAACGACCTGCCCATTCAGTAAAACATTTTGTCCATTACGCTCACAGAGACATTTACCAGTAGATGAGATCCATATTACACATGAGAAGGGAGAAATTGGAATTGGATTACAGGCCACAAATAAGTAAAACAAGAGTCTGGTCACAGTGCCAGACAACAGATGCAGTATCACTGTGCCACTGGATGAACACCAACTGTGCACCATAATATCACACGTTCACAAAGTGAGCTGTCTGGCATACACACCTTCATACCAGCAGGGCTTCATCACGTTGTACTACAACAGGTAAGGTGATGTGGCTCAACACCTGATTATCATACATATGGCAAGTTCACAGCACAGTTGTGGCTCACACATATTCCATTAACACACAGGTTTAGTAGAAAAAGCTGCTAGTCGTTCCTGGGGGTCATACAGGAAAGCAGTTCATGTCAGAATATTTTTTTAAAAAGCTGTATGAACATAAAATATTCAGCATTGTGAAACAATAGTTTTATTTTCCGAACGGCAGCATTAGTGATTGGTAATAAAAGAAACGGAGCATACAGAAACATCACAGGCGTTGAAAGGGAAAGTTCCCTACAGCAGGAATAAAGCAGTGCTAATGTTAAATGTCAAACAGTTTAAAGCATTGTTGTAACAGGCCTGATGTGAGTGAGCCTCTTTCACTGTGCTTAAATTCAATCTGTTATATTGTAAATACATTTGCAGTGAAAATGACACTTCACATTATGTTTGCACGTCATATAATTATGTGATGTGTTTCAACTTGTACAGCAGGTGCACGTCAATTTCTTTACGATTATCAAATGGTTATTTTGTCTGGTGTGGGTGCATCAGTACGTGCAGTTCATGAGTTAACAGAATTTTGTTTTGTTCCGAGATCTGGTTGCCTTTGAAAACAGGCTGTTGGGAAGGACATGGGAATCATCCCATACTGCCCTCATTTTACAGTTGACAGAGAGGAAACAGCGAGAGGTGAGGGTGTATTCAGAAGAATTTCATGCTGCTGTCTGGTGAATTTTCTTTTTTACCGAGCACTAAATGATGGGATAAAAACTAAAGATTTTAAAGTGAAGTTTTTTGTTGATTTTTCCAGCACTTAGTGTTCAAAAAGATGAAAAAATTGGCAAACAGATGAGTAGTTTTTCCACTTTGATGCGGCTGCAACACGTTGCTCCAAACGTCATCTGTAATAATCCATTATTTTAGCATTATTGTCAGGATTAATAAACAAGGTCGATCCCCCACCGCACACTTATTCCAAAGAGTAAATGCATTGTGACTCTCCTCATACTGATTTAATTCTGAAATGGAGAACATCTTGACACCAACACGTGTAATTATACAAACTAATTCCGTCAGAAAAAAGTGAAAAGCAAACTTTACAAAAAGGCACAATTTCACAGAACAACTTTAACGTAAAATCTTACGTTAAAGCAGAGAAGCTAGAACATGGTAGCGGGACAGACCGCAAACTGGCACATGACAGAGTGGGTGGGTGCAAGTATTCAGAATAAAAAAAAAAATAAAAAAAAAAATCCACACACAAGTGCCTCAAAGCAATATCAGATAATACCAAACCAAAATGAATGCAATTGCCTTTCCAATATCTGATTCAATGATTTGGGTTAATTCTATAAGAGCATCTTAGGGTATTGTCTGCCATTAAAGCCATCAACCACCTTTTGTTTTTTTTTTGTTTGTTTTTTTAACACACCTTTCATGTGTAAAGTGGCTCTGTGTAATCGTACAGTAGTTGTATACACCAAATACTGTCAAAACACAAGTCCACACTAATAAGATTTTAAAAAGTTTACATTTATTTCAGAAAGGGCAACACATTCATAAATACTGAGCAGCTCACTGATACAATCAGACCCATCAACAAGATTTCTTTTAAAGTAGGCCCCAGACTAATATATGCTCTTATTGAAAAAAAGTGATCAAGACTAGTTAGGAGACTATTATAGATGCGGCTTTTCATGCACATGACAGATTGTTAAATGCCAATTTACAGTGTCATTTAAACTGAGCAGCAACATGTAACTTAAAACCGCAGTTTGTTTCAGAGTTGAACTTAATTTAGGATCCAACTATTCTATCTGGCTTGTGTTGTGACCTGAGCTCGACCCAGAGCGCACTCTGTTAGAATAACTCAAATGTTTGAACAAGTTTCACTCCCCACATCTTATTACAATTGTTCTAAAAAGCTGGAATATCCAAGCAGGTTCAGCAAGTTGGACAGAAAGATTAAGTCAAAAAGACGGTGTTAGCTGATCTGAATGTTTCTGGCAGACGGTGTGTTGCTGTTAACACGTGCACAAGTCTTTTCCTCGAGAGAAGGGTGATGATTTTGTTCCTTCAACACATAATCCATCCACAACCACTGTTCATAAGTGTGATAGTCCTTCTCCAGGTCCGACACGATCAGCCCAAATTACAAGTCATCGACCACACATTGGGAATCAGACAGCATGATCTCTATTTTGATGCGTTGATCTGTGGCACATAAGTGGGACTGATCTTCCAAGGACCCAGAGCATCTGTCACTTAGGATTTTGGGTTGGGCAGAGGACGCCGGAACAGCAAGATGTGTGGCTCTAGAAGAAAAGAAAGACACACAATATGTAAGCAGAATGATCAAACTTAACAGTTGTGATGCTTTGATTCTTTGAGGGGAAACTTGACCCTTGTTACTCCTATTACACATATTTTGAATAGAAGGTGTAACTAGGATGTTGTCCATATGCTTGTGGCCACCAAATCTATTGAAATGTTGACCACTAACCTGGACCAACTCTTCGAAAGGTGTAACTGTACCTGTTTTAGTGTAATTAAGGGACCTGTTGTCTTTCATCTTCATAAAACAAAAGGGGACAAAAGGGCTCCAACTTTCTATCAGCTAAACAAGAAACATGCAAAGTAGCAACATATCTGTGCTCTAAAGAGCTGAAACTATTAGTCAATTAATTATTTAGTGGATTATAAGAAAATGAGTCTGCAACCAATTTAACAATATAAAGTGGCCACCCTGGGCTTGTGTAAATTTTCACAATTTTCTGACTTTATCACTTAATGATCAGTAGATTAAAAGAAAAAAAAAAAAAAATACAAAATGAAATAACCCTAGTCCTTTGTTGTGTTCTGTGCTTTGTTTCAGTTTATGATTGCATTAGTGTGCGCTGCAGTCAAAGAAATGGCTGAGATAAAAGATAAACCGTAGATATTAAGCTGTAACATATGTATAATATAAACATAATAACTTTAGTATTAACTAGTAATCTAGTATTAACTTTCAGCACCGTCATCCTGATTAGACTCCTAGTTTTACCCTTAACCCTAAAAATACCTAGTGAGTTCTCATTATTATTATTATTATTATTATTATTATCATCATCATCTCATGCACTTTTTTGCAAATTATTAAATAAAGACTTGAAAATCTATTGCTACAGATTCCAGGGAAAACTCATCAGGCCTTAGTTGTAAGTTACACCTTGTTATTTGTACAAAAAAAATCTCAAGATCAATCCATCTATGAATGATATTTACTTGCAGAAACACCACACATACACTCTTGTCCTGACATGTATGATTTAACATGCGTGCTAAAGTTAATCTGTCAAGAGTTGCCTTGTCACTCAATCAGCCAAAACTGCGTTTTGTTACATTTTTCACAATGGCCTGCTACTAGCCCCAGCATCAGAATGGGGCCAAATAAACATCAGAAATATATCAAGATGGGATCATTTCAGCTCAGTTACATTAGAATCAGAATACATTATCTATGGTTTAACATTAAGATTAAGATACCTGGCTGGTGGATCATGTAATGCACCCATCCTTGGCTCTGTTGGACACCCAGGTTCCTCCACTCGGTCTCCGACATCAGATGGGTCTTAGGTACACGCTTTGCAATGTCTTTGGGTAACATTACATGCCTGTAGAAAATATTCATAGAAAATGGGTGCACCAGTTAAATATTAGTATGGCGTATAGTGTTACATAACGAACGACGGTTTTAGTCGAATGTTACCATGGTGAGATTATTAAATATATTATATAATAACGTTGACACACTGACAAAGTTAAAGTGCATGTTGTACAAACAGAAACCATACCCACCTGTACTCGTATTTGTCATCGTCATATTTGTCAGAGTAGTAGATCTGTTTGTGAGACATGACGGAAATCTGGTGGAGAGGTTTTTAACATTAGTCAACATTCAGAATCACAAATAAAGCATATTAGCTAGATAGTTTAGTGGCTACAGTGGCAGCAACTTTTAGTTCGTATAGCTAAGCGAGTGTAGCTATGCTAACGTCGCTCAAGTTAGCTGAGAACAAGACTTATCTCCTTCAACTTAGGTCGATGTAAACGTCCAACTAGACGTTTATGTCGCTTTGCGAACAATCAATGAGATCTCAAAGTTACCTTATTAATTTCGGGAGTATTCCGGGGTTTAAAAAAGAGTAAATTATTCCAGTTTTTGCGTCCAACAGCAGCGAGATGTTTTCTCCTTCTTTGTTTCCCTCTCGAATGTTTGCAAGCCCGCTTTTCACTGTTCAAATAGACCTCGACTCATCCCATTGGCCAATCGATCCGAAGAGCTCTCTTGCCATTGGTCCGTTCTGTCCGTCGCAGAAAATTGACGCAAACGCTATATCGCCTCCCAATTGGTCAGCACGGTGGCGAAAACATCCAGATCCATTCCTTTGCATTGTGGAGGCTACAAGAAGTCTGCCGCAATTCAAACATGACACACTTTAACGTTATTGCATAACCAGTGACCCAGATTAGTTTTCACGGTACTATCCTGTGTAAATTTCAAGTCTCGACAACTGTAACAGATGTAATAAAGAGAGAGAGAGAGAAGTGACGTGATGCTCTAAGAGCAGTTGCATTGAGACCACAAGGGTACTGACCTTCAATCCAAACTGACAACAACTTTAGATAATTATCATTTTTATGCCCATTACCATGTTCCATTAAAATGCCACATTTCTGAATAAATTTCCATGATACTCTATATGTCTGTACACATGTTAAAAAAGTGTTCCTCAAGTTGAGAGGCTGGGTATCTGAGCTGAGTTGGCATGAGTAAATTTTACCACCCAAGAATAACTAGAAAGTACCTTACAAATGGTCAGTGACAAAATAAAATAATAGCAGTCTCTACATATTTATTGGAACCAAATAAACATAGATGTGGCCATATAGGTCACTTAAGTGGCACTGTTTTGTGGGTTCATATTTCATATATGCAGAGGCATGGCTGGATTAACATCCTAGGGGACCCTGAGGCAAAAATTTGCTGTTAGGCCCCATTGATGCCCACTATATATAAAAGTTACAGTACTCTCTCAGGTGCCCAGAAACCAACTAACAGTTTAAAGCTGAAATGATTAAGATGAGTAATCAATTGGTCAATTGACAGAAAATAATTGTCAATAATTAATTTTTAGGCAAAAATCCAAAATCTTCACTACCAGCATCTCAAATGTGAATATTTGCTAGTTTCCCTACTTCTATATGATATTGAACTTAACATTTGGGGGATTGAAAACTGTTGGTCAGACAGTAAGAGCAATTTAAACGTGAACTTGAGCCTGGGGTGGGAATTTTCAATGTTTTCTGATATTTTATAGACTAAACAATCAATCAGTTATTAATGACAATAATTCTAAGGTGTACTTATAATGAAAATAAATGTTGGTTGCAGCTTTACTGTATTCATACAATGGAATAATGGCCTACTATCTTGGCCAAAGAAAAAAATCAAAGCTGATTGATAAAATAAACTACAGCTTTACAACAAATGAGCTCAATATATGCAAATTTCAAAAAAAAAAAAAAAAAAAAAAAAAAAACAAAGCGACAAAAAACAAAACAACAACAAAGAAATTGTGATTACATATAAAGCTGGGGCTTTTGGGGCACCTGAGCAGTTGCCCACTTTGCCTGATTGATAGGCTAATCCAACCTTTTGCTGAGGTGTAAAAGTAAATGTGCCTTTCACAGACAAAACAGTTGACAGACTAATAATAGAGGAGAAGAAGTCAGATGATGAAATGGATGGCCACACTGGAGCAATAGGAGTGGAGGGGTTGTCCACTGTGGTAAGTCCCGTAGTTCAAATATAACTCTGCAGACGTGTCAGTGTGCGGCTGGTCCTGGCAGCTGTGCCTTCTGTATATATAGGTGCACGCATGCATCTTGAGGGTTAGGTTCACACGTGAAGTTGTATTATTAAAGGACTGGGGCGGGATCTGTGTCCATCACCTGCCACTTTCACCTGCGAGCGTCAATCATGCTGCGCTGTGCGTCGCTTTCCTGACACGACAGTTCTAACTGATTGGTCAAGTCTTGCTTCAGGGGCGGGCGCTCCGGAGGCTTTGCTGAAATCCCATTGGACGAGAAGCGCCTTGGTCGACGTGACGCAGCTTGGAATTCCCAAAGTTCCCAAGTTCAGGGGAAGAGAGGAGCGTTGTTCTTACTAAAAAACAAAACGTTTTGAAGGGGAAAAAACAGCCGACGACTGAGCTGTAAGCAAGTGGGGTAAATAAAACGTCTTATTTGTGTTTAACTTGATAAGAGTCGAACAGGTGGGTGAAGCGCTCGCCAACAGCAGGGCCTGAGTGAGAACGCGGAAGAGTGGGAGTGGGAATATTCAGCCTACCATCCTTTGTTTACCATCATGAGTGAACCTTGATTTTGGTTGCTACAACAACCACGGCCCCTAAATTTTGTCTATCATATGTGCAAAACAGAACTGTAGCGCAGGTAGTGTTGTCGACAAGTGAGTATTATCCTTTGTTTGCTCGTTTCTGCATCAATGAGCTACTCGTGCCTGTGGTTTGACCATTTTTGGTAATTTAACTGCCACACAGATTGAGAGGATGGATGGGTCTGAATGAATGGTTGGCTGGAAATAGCAGCGGCGATTAATGTAATCATGAGATTCCTGTTTCTTCTGACTGAACCCTTTGTTTAACTGCGCAGCAGTATATTATGGATGCCACCATACCGTTACATAACTTGTATCAACGACAATCTGTGCTTTATCCCGTATGTGCGGTGAATTAGGTCCCAAACTGTGACGTTATTGTGTCCTCTTAGGCTGGCATTTACATAATAACCATCTAGTTACTGCAGGAAATTAGACATAGTTTATAATTCGTGTGTACTTTCATGTTTAAGAGTGTGCATACTTATAATTTTAATGCAATACTAGTAATTAAGTTACAGTCGGATTATTATGTCAAGATAATGCTTCTAAATCCCACAAGGCATATGGTGTATGTACCAGGCATGTTCAATGAAGGCACGTTATTTCTGTTTTCGTCTGCAGAATACAATTCAGCAGAATCTGCACCGTGCTGTGCCAAGTTGAGCCTGAAGAGGGCGATGTCTGACAACAGCAATAGCACAGGCAGTAGTGCGTCCTCAACCAACAGCTGGACCCTCCTCTCCCCCGAGGTAAGACTTTAAAACCAGCTCAAGAAACTTTCCTTGGAGACTTGTATGCCTGGATACAATTTGGAGCATGGTTATTATCCTGTCTCATCCTGTCTCATGAATACAGGCCCATGTAAAATATGAAATGTCTGAACTTGCAACCCTACGCCGCCCATAATGATAAAGTCATTGTGAATGTTACCAAATTATGACCCATTAGTCAGATACTGTCCAGTTTGAATGTGTAAGGCTTTTATTTTTTTCTTCCATAGCTGTTGTTGTGTTATTTTGTTTGTTTTATATGTCAACTCTATGTGCTAGCAGTTGTGTATGATTTTGTGACTGTGTTAAGGCAGAGCATTGAGGACAAAAATATTTCTGTTGTCATAATCAAAAGATCTATATAGATATATATTCAATTGCCAGTTTATCAAGTACACCTAAGTAAAACTAATGCAATCGAATACAACATCCCTGCATTAAATCCTCTTTCATGATGGTTATAGTGTTTAGATTTTGTCAAAACTGTTTTAGAGCAGTGTTGATTGGAGGCCATAGAATGTGGTGCTGTTGAATTTTATACTGAGAGGTAATATTTTGTTTACCTCTATCTATCTATATCAATGATGGTAGAAGACTAATTATGACAGCTGAGTATATACAGAGATGCTATAAGGACTTTGGTATATCAGATTCTACTCTGTTAACAAAACGGTACAACACAAATTAAAATAAAACACTGTGATTTCATTACGATGACCGACAAGGAAAATCAACATCTCCCTCGGCCCAGGGATTTGCGTCTAGGGGCGAGCATACAAGCCTGTATTGGTTGTGCTGTGAATGTCAAGGTCAGCATTACCAATAAGCATACTTTAGGTGTTAATGTGAATGCTTGTAGGAAGCCTGATCTTATTGTATCTTCTTACTCCACAGGAAGCTGCTGTTGAGAATGTGGGACCTGTGGACGACGGCACTGAGAGCCTGGGCGACGTCCCTAGTCTCTCTGAGGAGGTGGCAGGTACTGAAAGTCAAGAGGGGTGGAGCATTTACAGGATCAGTGGTCATGGGTTGTGGCATGGCTCATTTTAGACATTGAAGACATTGCTTTTAAAAACCTCTGCAGTTTCAAATTGTAGTGTTGACCCTGTGTTGATGTCATTTCAGGAGCTGCTGTGGAGTTCAAACCAAGTGACATTCCAATAGAAACTGTCCTGTCTGAGGAAGGCCATCAGGTTAGTACACAATAAACAATGTAATAATCCTATCAAGGTTTAAGCAAAGATACTAATGTCTGTCCGTGTTTTTGAATATCGTGCCACTAGAAAACCCGGAATCAAGTCATTATTAAGAGGACAAATCCTTACCTTACACAGTTATAACCAGATGCTGGTGATGTATTCTTAGGTCTAATGTCTTGTTTGATGGTGTATATTTATCTTGACCACATGTACATACTTACTGTCCAGCACACTATAGCTGCAGTCAGATTTATAAACATAAAAAAGGTATACATATTATGTTCTTCACTTTGTTGGCTTGACCCCCCCCCCCCCCCCAAAATCAATAAGCAGCACTAATTTCTATTTAACAAATTTTCAGTCATGTTGAAGAATTTTACAGATTGAAATATTTCGCAGATGGAGTAAGGAATACCAGTTTTTACACTGAAATGAGCCTCAATAGAATGGAATCCCTTTTGCAATAGATTACAGATTACAGATTACAACTGCTTCTGTCTGCCCATGCTAAATATAAATTAGACAGTTGAGACCTGTTCTCCTGAGATTATTAAAAAATCACTTAGGGCGGTATAGGAAGTCATTAAATGGAAGAGACACATTGTAGGCAATATAGTGCAAGGGAAATGGATGCACTGAAAAACAAAATCATAGAAATTTATTACTAAATAAGACCTTAATTGCAATGAAGATCACAAGAAGTGATATCAAAGTATAAAAGTATTCACAGATATCGTTTTTTCTCTCTGGCCCTTATTTCTAGGTGTGTCAAGAGACCTCTCCAGAGTCCAGTGAGGGTCCCATACCTTCTAGTCCAACCCGGATGAGTCCTCTTCCACAC